TCCTGGCAAACAGCTGATTGATCCCTCGGCATAGGGCACCCTGGCTTCAAGCTTGATAGGGGCTCCTAGGAAAGAACCTTCCACTAAAGAAAGTTTCAGAAGCACAGGTTTAAATGGACTAAGACTGTAGCTGGAAGTTTTCCTGTGTCCCACCTGACCACAGTTGGACAAATCTCTCACCTACAGTCCCGCAGCCTTTTATAAAATAATCACACAGAGACTTAATATTATTTACAACTGCTTGGCCATTAGCTCAGGCTTATTAATGACTGGCTCTTACACTTAATTTAACCCATAATTCTTACTATGTTTAGCCATGTGGCTTGGTACCTTTTCTCAGTTCTGTCTTATCATCTTGCTTCCTCTGTGTCTGGCTGGCGACTCCTGACTCTGCCCTTCCTCTTCCCAGAATTCTTTTAGTCTGCTTGCCCTGCCTATACTTCCTGCCTGGCTACAGGCCAAGCAGCATTTTATTAAACCAGTGTACAAAAGCATTATCTCACAGCATTTCCCCTTTTCTGTCTAATCAAAAAGGAAGGTTTTAACTTCAACATAGTAAAATTACATACAACAAAACTGTTATCAAGCAAGAATTGCAGTTACAATATCTAGTCTATTTGTATTTGGCAATTTCAAAGAAAATATTTTATCTGTCCTATATTTGTGAGTCTAAGGTTTCATATGTAACTTATCTTTTATCATAACTGAGGAAAATTATAACTATCTAGTCTTCAACTACATCAAAGACCCCAGAAGGATATACTATTACCTAAGTAAACAGGAAGTGTGTTGTAAGCAACTTCAAAAAATCTGGAAATGACAGAGACAGTTGCCTCCTGGATAGTCATCCAAAGTTCCTCTGTAACATTGGGGCATCCTTCTTCAGTCAATAGACCTAGTTGCTTCTTCCTGTGTCCTGTAGAATATTTGGCAGTTTCCTTTGTGAAGCAGGAACCTGACAAACCATCTCGCCTTGCGAAGTTCAGTGGTCACCTTTCTATGGGTCCTGCATGTCCAGTTTATACAACATTTTGTCAAGCAGTCCAGGCAAGAACAGTTTCTTGCCCAAATGGCTAACTTTTGCCATGAAGAAGATAAACACCATATGGAATGTCTTTGGTGCCCATTGTCTTCCTTGAAGGAGCAGATGTGTCTCATTGTCCAGAAAAGCCTATGTTTTTAAAGCATTTTAAATGCCATATTCTGTAGGTCTTTGAAGTATTTGAAGATTACCTACCTAATTGAATTATATCTATGTATACCTAGAAAACTTAACTAACATGACTATAAGCTTGACTATCATAGAAGACTAATTATAAATCTGTATTTCTTAATTATCCATTACAATTTAAATAAGTTACATAAACATACCTTAAATGAGAGTAGAAATATATATACAGTATAACAAAATTAACTTTAAATTTATATCAATAAACTAAAATCCATAGCAATGTAAAACATTCTAAACAAGTTGCTGCTCTTTAAAGGTAGATTCAATAATCTACCCTTTCATCCTATCATATCTATATCCTATATTTCTATATTATATCCCCCTTTCTTCTTTTAGAAAAAGATTGACTATGACCAATAACAATTTGTAACCAACAATCTAAACAAAGACAAACATCCATAATCCACTTTTTGGGAATGTGGGTGTAGTTTTCTAGGTTACTTCCTGCTGATAGGGGCCACTGGTAGTCTTATGGGGATTGTGAGACTATTCAAGATAATGGTCAAGTCCTGAGAAGACTGGCTATAACCTTTGTTGATAGGTACCATCTGTTAAGGTTCAGGAGGTCTGACTTGATCAAATCTAATCCATCTTAAACTGGTACAAATCCATAGGTTCTCATTTTCTGTGGAAACAAAAGCAGAACCTCTTTTCCAAAGCAACATATCCTTACACATAAATTTTGAAGTCAAGATAACTTTTATATATATATATAATATATATATATTATATATATATATTTAACTGAGTAGCATTTATAATCAAATGTCTTTGTGCAGTTAAAAAAATCCCCAAAACAACACAATCCAGATTCTCTGTGCGATATCCATCTTTATGTGGCTTATTTTTTATATTACTTTTACTGTCTCTTTAAAGGCTTTACTTTTTAAAACTTTCTTTATATGACTCTGTATTTCTTTTTCTCTTTCAAGCCTACACACTGTAAACCATTTAAAGCCTTATTCCATCTGAATCTGCCTTATTGTGAATCTATTGGTTTAAACTGTAGCATTACTAGGACTAAAGTGGCAGCTTTGGCTGCTGACTCCACCCACGTCAGCTTTCCAACATGGCGGAACTACGTTTACCACCAGCTCTGGGGGAACCATGCTCATTGCTGACTCTGTGAAGCGAACGCCTGTAAGAACAGCTGTCTCTCATAAGAGTGAACACCTCTAAGAGCAGATGTCTCCTGTAAGAGTGAACACCTGTAGGAGCAGACGTTCTGAAGATCAGCAAGGGTGTGGTTTGGGAAGAGTCAGCCCTGAGTCTTATCAGACATTAATAAAGTCCACAGAGAGCATCTGGTTGTAGTATGGAGTTGAGTAATGGAGCATACTATTTGTTAGTGAACCCAGAGCAGCATTTTGTCCACTGCAAAGGGTGATCTAGCTAAGTTGTTGAAGTTAACACAATGCCACACAAATCTCATGTTAGTAACTTGTCAGACCTAAGCCAGATTTTTTTAAGATTTGAGATTTTGGCCTGGATTGGTGGCTCAGTAGTCAAGAATGCGTGTTGTTCTTTCAGAGGACCAGGATTTAGATCTCAACACCCATGTGAAGTGGTTTGTCTGGCTTCTCTGGGCACCCACAGATGCACAGACCCATAAATAACAATTTTTGAATTTTTGAATAATTTACAATTAACAGTATTAACAGCCTGTGGTTTTCAACCCCCACCCCAACCCCAGTCTAGAGGTTTCTGATATTTGGAACATTCTGTCTTTTTCTTGTCTATAGTAGTTATGCCAGAAAAATAGAAATACCCCTTTCCAGAGGGTTCAGATATGTCTGCCTCTGGGGATAATTATTTAATACTTCCTTCCTTTGAGTTGAAATAGATTTTATGAATTAAGCTCTTCTGGATGCCTGGAGTTTTGTCTTAGGTGAAGCTGTGACTGAGGGAACATTTTCCCAGTGATACCATACGTGTGAAATCCTTCTTCTCCTCCCTTCAGCAAAGGCTGGGTGTGCCATCCTGGAAGGGAAATACACATCTCAACTATTTTGCCATCAATAAGGACTGTGGGGTTTTTGTTTTGTTTTGTTTTCTGTTCTCAAACTAAGGGTGTAAGAAATGCCCAGGTGGCTCCATTGGTTCCTCACATCAAAGCTTAGGAACTGAGTGGGACTGTCTCCTGTCTGCTACACATACTTTATACAGGGAGAGTAGGTTGCCTTGTCATCTATCCAAGGAACTTCAGTTGGATGACATAGTAGCCACAGCAAACTGAAGATTAAAATATTCAACTTTTGGGGACTGGGGTATAGTGGTACAGCACATTCTTTATAAGCAACATTCCATCGCCAGGACAAAAATAAATAAAAATCTTTAATTTGGGGGCTTTAGTTAAAATATCTCAGTATTTGGAGGCAGAACAGTCATATCTTTGTGAATTCCAGGCCAGTCTGGTCTACATAGCAAGTTCCAGCACAGCACCCCCCACCTCTCTCTCTCTCTCTCTCTCTCTCTCTCTCTCTCTCTCTCTCTCTCTCTCTCTCTCTCTATATATATATATATATATATATATATATATATATAGTGTGTGTGTGTGTGTGTGTGTGTGTGTGTGTGTGTAGGGTGTTTACTGGCATGTATGTCTGAGTACCGTGTTCATTCCTGGTGCCTGCAGAGGTCAGAAGAGGGCATTGGATCTCCTGGAACTGGAGATGGTTGTGAGCTGCCATATGAGTACTGGGAATCGAACCTGGGTCCTCTAGAAGAGCAGCTGGGGCTCCTATCCGAAGAATCATCTTTCTAGCCCTTCTTTATATATATATTTAGACAGGATCTCATGTAGTCCAAACAGGCCTCAGACTTCCTGTATTGCTGATGATACCTTGCATTTCTGATTCTCCTGTTTCCACTCTTGAGTGCTAGGGTTATAGGAATGCACCATCACTCCAGGTTTACGTGATGCTGGGGACAGAACCCAGGGCTTCCTGCATGTTAGACAAGTGCTCTATCCACAGAGCTATACTTCCAGTCCCAGGAATTACTCCCTTTTAACGAAGTATGACTGGGCCCCTTTTCTGATTGAGGTCTGTTTTTTCCCGTTGCTCTCAACTCACTCATTCCTTTTGAGTGTTCTTGTATACCCACTGGATATGGAGAATTGATTGTATGCCTTCTGTGATGCTGCTACAGATATTCAGGGTGTCTGAAGAAATTGACACACTCCCAGGTGTCTTGGAGGAAAATCTTTCCTAAATTATGACAATCTTTGTGGGACTTATTTTTACCATTATGTTTTATGTATTTACCTTTAATATATATCCAAGAGTGGAGCTTGTGAGAGACGGCTCAGTGGGTAAAGGGATTTGCTGTAAGTCTAACAACCTGAGTGCAACTCTGGGACCCACACGGTGGAAGTAGAGAACCAACTATGACCTACACACAAATAAATAAGTGTAATAAAAATGTATTCTAGGGTTGGGGATTTAGCTCAGTGGTAGAGCACTTGCCTAGCAAGCACAAGGCCTGGGTTCGATCCTCAGCTCCAAAAAAAAAAAAAATGTATTCTAGGCATAGGAAACATGAAATAAAATTTTTAACAGCACAGGAAGCCAAGAGTTAGTTGTGCAGCTGATACTTGTATCTTGATGAATAGAATTAAGGCCATAGTTTTTAAATAGTAATGATTTAACAGTAAAGTACTTGAAAGGAATTCCGAGTCTATACTCCAAAGCGCGAAGCATTCTGATGGTCCCTTTATGATAACTATCATAGGCCCTGGTCATGGATCCCTGTGTTCTTCCTCCTGTAGTGATGAATCACCAACACCAGCAACAAGTCGTACCCAGTAACCTGAGTGCACAGAACCACCCAACTCCGAACCCACCCTCGGGGCTCATGAGTGTGCCCAATGCGCTGACCACTCAGCAGCAGCAGCAGCAGAAACTGCGTCTTCAGAGGATCCAGATGGAGAGAGAGAGGATCAGGATGCGTCAAGAGGAGCTCATGAGGCAGGTATGGTCTTCCATGGCACCTGTTGGAGGCCCTGTGGCCTCGGGTGGCTGTTTGCTTTCAGGATGAGGTCCTGGGTTCACAGCCCAGTTTCTCCCAACTCTCTCCTCCTGAACTGTCTTCAGGGCTAAACTTAGGAGTTCAAGGACATGCCCTTTGGCATGGCAGCCTTGGCTTCCACTGATAGTATTTAAAGGGAGAGAAAGGAGAAATTAAGAAAGAGCATGTTCCGGTCGGGCGGTGGTGGCGCACGCCTATAATCCCAGCACTCGGGAGGCAGAGGCAGGTGGATCTCTGTGAGTTCGAGGCCAGCCTGGTCTACAAAGCGAGTTCCAGGAAAGGCGCAAAGCTACACAGAGAGACCCTGTTTCGAAAAACCAAAAAAAAAAAAAAAAAGAAAGAACATGTTCCAGTTAGCTATTACTTTGTAAGAAATTATCCCCCAAACTCAGGGACTTGAAATAGTCATTTAATTTAATTGCAGTTTTTCAATTTAGAAAGGGCTGAGGTAGGCTGTTCTTCTGTTGTCATTGAGGTCACTTAGTGGTAATCAGCTGGTAGGTGGGTTGCAAGGTCCAGGAGGATGTTAGCTAATGGTCAGGACTGCTGGCAGGTTGGCCTTATTTGGGATTACATGAAGCATGGCAATCTTGAGTGTACCAGGGCATATAACAGCAACCCTCCAAGAGAGAACAGTATCTTAGGGCCTGGTTCTAGAAATGGAGTCAACTTTGTCCCCTTTCCCTCATTAAAGGAGATAGCAGAGAGGCATTCCATAAAACAAGCCCTCTGCAGCCAGCCATCTTGTTCTGCTATAGAGCATGAAAAGGATAAAGTCAAAGCAGAATGGAAAACTTTCTGTATGGATTTAATCAGAATGTTCTCCAAAACTGCATGGGTTGGGTATCAGTCAGACTTGTTTGTTTTAAGAATATGTCTTGTTATAGCTCGGCATATTGGCACACACCTTTAATCTCAGCACTTGAGGAAGAGGTAGGTGGATCCATGTGAGTTCAAGGCCAGCCTGGTCTACAGAGCGAGTTCCAGGACAGCCAGAGCTACATGAGAAACCCTGTCTTAGAAGAATAAAAAAAAAAAAATACGTTGTAGTGGTATTTGCTCCGCCCATGACCTTGGGCTATACCCCGTAGGAGGCGGTGCTTCTTGCCATCATACCTGACCTCTTAAAAGGGAGAGAAGGGAGAGGGGGTCATGAGTTTCCTTCCTCCTTTTTTTTTTTTTTTTTTTTTTTTTTTAGATCTGGTGTCATCAGACACCATATGGCCTGGGAATTGAACCTAGGTCCTCTGGAACATCAGTCAGTGCACTTAACCACTGAGCCATCTTTCTGCTCTCCGGACAAATCTCTCCCACCTGCAGTCCCACAGCTGCTTATAAAATACTCAGAGGCTTAATATTAATTACAAACTGTTTGGCCGATGGCTCAGGCTTCTTGCTAACTAGCCCTTTCATCTTAAATTAACCCATTTCTACATTTCTATTAATCTATATGTTGCCACGTGGCCGTGGCGTTACCGGTTTGCTGGCATCTTATTGCTCCTTGGCTGGCGTCTCTTGACCATGCCTTTCTCCTCTCTGTCCTTCCTGGATCTTCCTCCTGGCTCCATCCTGCTCTGCCATAGGCCAATGCAGCTTTATTTATTAATGAATTAGAGCAACACATGTTCATGGCATACAGAAAGACCCCACAGCAACAAGTCTTGCTATGCATCCCAGGCTGATATCAAACTTGAGAGATCCTTCTGCCTCTCCTCCTAAATCCTGGGATAGGAATATGCCACTGTGTCTGGCTCAGTCCAGTTACTGTGTGTTGTACTATGTACATTCATTCACCTATTTGGTCAACAGGACACTACTGTGAGTCTTTGGGGGGCTCAGCTCTGTTCTTCATAAACAAAAGAAAAAAGCCAGCGTGGCGATGCAACTTTCAACCCAGAACGCAGAAGGCTGACTCAGAATGGTTGAGAGTTCGAGGCCCTAGAGCTGGGGGTATATCTCAGTGTAGAGTTCTTACCTAGCATGTTCAAGGCTCTGGGCTCTGTCCCCAGCACAGGGAAAGACAGAGAAGGAAAGAAGGGGAAGAGAGAGGGAGGAAGAAAGATGCCTAGCTGAGTTTGAGTGCCATTTTAAGGAAATAGTTTTAACTGTTCAAAGGGTGGGTGTCCTTGGAAAGGAGTGTGGGGCTGTTATAGGTAAATACTTCCCCAAGTTACAACTGTTATTTTAAAATCTATATATCATCTTTTATCAATGATAATGTCTTGCTCATATAGTACATCTCAAATGTAACCTTTGAAAATAAAAGAAATGAATATTAGGGAAGATGGCTATTAGGAAACTACAATTGTGACTTTTACTCTTAGAATCTAAATTTGTGCTTTCTTGGCTGCATCATGGTAATGTTTCTTGGCAAGAAATAATTATATTAATTGTTTTCCATTTTTGGATATTTCTATTTAGTTGGGTTTTTTGTTTTATTTTTGAGACAGGGTTTCTCGTGTAGCCCTGGCTGTCCTGGAACTCACTCTATAGACCAGGCTGGCCTCAAACTTACAGAAATCCACCTACCTCTGCCTCCCAAGTGCTGGGATTAAAGTCGAGCACCACCACTACCGCCTGGGCTATTTCTATTTGGAATCAGTCAATTTCTTTTTTGGAAATATAATGTGAATTATACAGTATTATAGTCTCATTTATAAATTCTCCTCAGTTTTGTATTTAAATGATCTTCAATGGTGGTTTGTTTTTTTTTTTAATCACTCTCCTGCTAGGAATGATTTTTTCCTGTTTCTTCCTCTTATATAATTCTTTCTTTTGTTCTGTCTCCTCCTTTCCCACAGAAAGAATTTCTGAAAAGGGGTGGGGGAAAGTGCCAGGGATTGTTTCCTTTAGCTGGAGGTGCCTTGGAGCCCTGGATAGTTTTGATGGTTCATATTACAGAAATGCCAGCATAGTTCCTTCAGTGCTGATCCCTGGCAGCTGGGGACCTTGGTGAATTGTAGGGCATCCCAGTGTACGGTCCTCCACAGACCACGGCAAGGTGAAAAGGCTGGCAGCTTTTGCTCAGCTTTGATTGTGAGTGGTGTGTGTGTGTGTGTGTGTGTGTGTGTGTGTGTGTGTGTGTGTGTGTAGTTAGGAGACACGATGGATGGTTTTGATGTCTTTTTAATTTTGTATAGGGGGAGAAATGTCTGAATAGATTTAATAATCATGGGAGATTATCCCTCCCCCCATCCAAGGCATCATGTTCCCTAGTTAGAGGTAATAAGGCCATATGATAATGGTGTGGGAGTATTTCCTGGGATCATTTCCAGAATATCTTGAATATCATCTTGATGGACTTCAATTTTTTTTTTAAAAGCTGTATCTTATTTTACATGTGTGAATGTGTTGCATGTATACATGCATGCATGTGCATCATAGGCATGCCTGGTTCCTTTGGAAGTCAGAAGAGGTCATTGGATCCCCTGGAACAAGAGTTAAGGATGGTTGTGAACCACCAGGTGGGTGCTGGGAACTGAACCTGCATCCTTTGTGAGAACAGCAATGGCTCTTATTTGCTAAGTTATTATTCCAGCCCCTCGGCAGGCTTGTGTTATTAGAATGTATGGGCGTGCATGCAGCAGTCAAGTACAGTCTTCAAGAGTCAGTTCCTTCCTTCCACTGTGGGATCTGGGGGTTGACCACAGGTGGCCAGGCTTGCTCAGCATGCACCCTTTCCTATTGAGCTACAGTGCCCACACCTCTGGTAGGCTTTTTGACTTCTTCTGGTGATTTTTTTTCACTTTGTTATTTACGCCTTAGCCAGGGTAGAGTTAGGAAAAGACTCGAAGTAAAAGTGGTCTTTGGTTCACCTGTTCAGCTGCTTTCTAGCATCAAATAGGAATTTGTAGTGTGGAGGACTGGTTTTTCCTGGTGAGATTTGTGTGGTTTTTCTATAAACTTCTATGGGCTTCTTCTGCCTCAGTCACTAGCAGCTGCCTGGGCATCTCTTGCTCACTAGGAGGTCTGTCACCAACCTGCCTCTCCTGCCTGCAGGAGATCTCTAATCCTATAGCCTGTCTTCTGGGCCCTTGTTCATTTCTCCACCTCCTCCTGTTACTCATTTATTATTCTACACCTACAGTGTGATGTTACCCCCCGGGGAAGCAGCTCCTCAGTCTGAGCTGCATGACCATCCGGCCAGTACTCTCTGACAACTGTGCCCGTGCTGTCCTGCTTTGGCTCATGGGTGCTAAAATCGCTCAGGGCATTAACAAAGTAGATTTGGAGACAGTTTGATTGCAACTCTAAAGTGAGCTTCCATTGGTTCAGGATGGAAACTCTCTTTCCCCCTTTCTTCCTTTATCTCCTCATTGATTCCCTTAGCCAATAGTCATGGGATTGGAAGTAATAGAAAGATAAATGGGACATGGCTGCCTTGATGCAACTTCTACGGTAGCAGAGGAGACAAAAGTAATTGGTTCTAGTCGAAGTTGTGGGTCAAAGGGTAAATTAACACCATTACCTCCTTGGGGTCCCAGTGGTTACCTCTTTGACTTTTAGGATTGTCACTGAGCCCAGACAAATTCACTTTCTGTGAAAATAGTGTAAGATATTCCTTCATCTCTTTCCACTGACCACTCCTCCTGGCCAACAAGCTATTTAACAACTACTGAATTGGGATCAAAGTGGCAGTGTCTCCACAGACTTAGCGTCTTAACTAGGCCAGGCCCAATGGTAGCAGGCCTCTAATCCTACCTGCTTGGGAGGCTAAGGCAGGAGAATTGAGAATTTAGTTAGGCAAGGGTGGGCTACCAACTGAGTTCAAAGCCAGCCTGCGATAATTAATGAGAACCTGTCTCAAAATAAGAAAATGAAAAGAGGGGCCTGTGAGATGACTCAGAGAGTAAAGGCCTTGCCACCAAGCCTGCCATTTGACCTTGATCCCAAAGACACAAGGCAGAAAGAAAGAACCATCTACCACGAGTTCTCCCCTGACT